CTCTCGGGTACATCAAAATCGCCTTTATTGTCTCTGAATATATGGCTTTTTCCCTCCGCTGGAGTCTCACGGAAGAACGTCGCGGGTAGCGTGGAAGCACCAACAAGGGACAGACAGGGAGGCGCCACGCTCCACTCCGGCCACGGTCACCTCCTCTACCTCAACGCAACGAAAAACAACTCAAATAAACGTGTAGCTTTTTTTCTCTCTTTTTTGGTTATATATATAAGTGTGTGTTACAGGTACTTTGCTGTTAAAAGGGTGACTTTGGGTGGGCGGGGTACAGCGCAGCAGCTGGTTCACAAGGTTTAGCGTCCAAATACACAAGGAACGTCTGGTGGCAACACTACTCCAACCAGGTGATTGCTAATAAGTGAGTACAACACTTTTCTTAAGTTATTCTCTGAGACTCCAAGGAAGACTATATACAAAAAGCTCATTTCTAACTCTGTACATAGAAAATTCATATAAACAACATGAAAACCTTTTTTTTTTTTAATGACTGTATCAAATGTGTTGCCATCGTGTTATATTGTATATATATTTTTTTTTAGTATTTTTTTTTTCGTTTTTTGTTTTATGGTTAGGAATTTCTCGCATTCTGAAAGAGCCAAGGAAGACCATCTTTGCTCTCAAGACGCGAAGTGGCTTCCCTACGCATTCCAGTAATAAGGCAGCGGATTGGTCGTTGGGTCGTCTGCAGCACACGCCTTGTTAGATCCCAACGACAGAAGAATATCTTTTATTACGATTGGCTGGTCCGTTGGTTGTAGATTGGGCATGGATGTGTGTATGCTTTGTGTTTGTTTTTTCGTTTGTTTTTGTTCGTTTTTTTTTTCTCCTTTTTTTATGTTTTACTTCCACACCAAACGACCTCGGCAGTTTCAATGAAGAAAATGATTCTTTGGTAGCCAGAGCGATATCTAATTTAGAATTAACAAGAAACATTTTTTTTTAACAGTACTCATAAAACATCTATAAGTACACTAGAAGAACTATTTTCGTCATTTGAACAAAAAAAAAAAAAAATCGCAGCCAAAAGTTATACATCGTGATGAAATTTCCTTTTTTAAAAATTTTAATCGAATAGTTTATAGAGTTCAGGATGCAATGTCGTTAACCAATGTCGTCTAACACTGCTAAGATGTAAAATAATGTGTATTATATATGACGATAATTCAACAGATATCCTGAGAAACTGCTAATCATCTCTATATCAGTAATGTACAAAACATAAAGCAATGTACAGCGGTGTGTGCATAGTGGGGCTGCATAGCTGGACGGCGGGAAAGGACCAGCGACCGCCCACACGCACCATCCACACACCGTCGGCTCTCCTACCTCTCACAGCACAAGTGTCTCTACTACGAACACACAAGCGTTTATATAAGTGGGGTGTGTGGGGGAGGGGGGGGAGGGAGGAAGGAAGGAAGGAAGGAGGGAGGTCACTGTCAAATGGAGTTTGAGAAGCCGCAAAGGAAAGCCGCCATGCTTGGTGGTGATGCTGGGAAAATTCCCCTTTTATTTGGGAAATCTCGTGTTTTATTATCATTATTATTAGAGTGTATAAGGATTCCCTCGAGAGTGGCTAAAAGAGTGGATCACAGTTACTATTCCCGCGACTACGAAAGCGAGTCGAGGGTGACCATGAGGGAGCAGAGAGCATGAGAGGTGCGGGGGCGTGTGGGGGCCGCGGTGGCTCCCGTGAAGAGGCGCCTCTCGGGTCGGGGGCGGCCTCGCGAATACAACATGCACCTTCTTCAACGTAATTCCGTCGGGCAGCTGCTTAAGCCTGGTTTGGGCGTGCAGCGCGGACAGGCGGAGTGTCCGCGCCCACGCCCGCCTCTTAAGCAGTCCTCTTCGTATTAGCTGATGGAACATTCTGCATTTGAGGATTTTTTTTTTTTGAAGGTCGAATCAACGGTAACCCCCATGCAAGATTTTGGTTCCAGTTATTATTTTTTTTCTTATTACTTATCCCATAAATGTCCCCCTTGTTAAGTAAGAATTTGGACCCATGATTGCAATATATATCAACGTTCCCCAAATCTTGCAGAAAGGTCGCCAAAACTGACCCAAGTTGGCCTTTCGAAGTCAGGCCCACCTCATGGCGCTGTTCAGGAATGTGAGGCCGGGATCTCTCTTCATCAAGACGTTTGACGCGGAAATTTTGAAAGAGTAAAACAAATCCCCCAAAAGGACTTCTTTTAGACGCAAACTTCCTTTCTCAAAGAGCACGAATCCTGCAGCTGAAAGGGTCGAATCGCTCCTCGCTCGCCCTCCTGGACAGAGCACCAAAGAGGCAGTTCATTAATGCACTTGGATTTCGATCAAGGCTGTACTGGATTGGTTAATTATTCTAGTGTTTTTTTTAAATATATTTCTACACGTGACAGACTGGGCACCAAGCACTTCGGTTGCAAGTTATAGCAGAAGGTCCCCGACTGTAATTTAGTACATATTTTATTATCTTTCTTTTAGATACAGCACAAGTCTCTAAGCATGATTCCTTGACATACAAAATATCAACGCCAGTACATCCGCTTTCTTCTTTCTTACGCTACAATGTTTTTTTTATGGCAATATCACACAAGTGTAAATAAATAAACTATACAACATCTTCCATGACACAATAAACCAGAGCTATTACTTCCACAGCAGAACCGAAGTATCTATGTACAAAAAACCGAGAAAAAAATCGAACCATCAGGATCGTTTAACAATGCAGTCACAGAGGACCGCTTCACTGGGCATGCACCTGTGGCATATAGTTATATATATGTCTTAAAAGAGAGGTAACATCTATTAGGCAATGGTACTCTATACAAACATGGACGAACTGTCTGAACACTTGACACACGTGAGGTGCAGCAGCTACACGTTCCCACTTAGCCTATACACAGGGTCAGAAAGCTCGTGGTATGGTCAACTATCATGCTTTTTTTTTTCTTCTTCTATCATGGTTATATCTTGGTGGTGATTGTCCTGCTGGCTATGGCACGCGGTCTCCTTCGCCGCAAGAGGAAAAAAAAACTCGACGTCAAACACGGCAACGGTTGATCAATATTGCACTAAGTTCACTTTCACTTCCCGTCGGGCTCTGCAAAAGCTTCTGGTGAATCACAAAGAAGCGTAGGAGAGCGCTAGTCAAGCGTTTACCGTTTCATTTCCACATTTTCCTTAGCACTTTTGTGTTCCATTTAGCACTTTCTTCTCCGCTTCAGACACTGAGGCCGGCCAGATCCCACTGGCGATGTCCCTTAGTCTAAACATTTCACTTCAGGCAACAAGTTCAGGCACAGATCCGAACACAAACTGAAGTTCGTTAATGAACGCGTTGACGAAAACGGAACGAGCTTTTTTTATGAAAGATAAACAGCATCCCATAACTTGTGGTACTGAATGCCTTGGCGAGTGAACACACACATACACACATCTGGCAAACATGCACAAGAAAGCTTTTTATTTATAGGATAACTAATGTGAAAAAAGAATGTCAACTTATACGTGTATATCATCCGTCTGATATAACGACGTAGGGAGCACAAGATAGCACAGTTGTGTAAACCATAAGCGTCCTGGTTGTTTTCACCGAAAGAAGGTTCAACTCGTTTCCAGAAAAGAAAACGCAAAACCACTCAATAAAGTCTTCGACATCCGAAAGAGACGCGACCCACGCCGACGGCGGGGGGGTCGAGGCCCCTCCTCTTCATGATCGACTTCAAGGGCGTCGTCGCCTCCCGCCCTCAGATCCAGGCACCGGCGTGGCTCTCCAGGATGTGGGCGGCGTCGGGCCGTCCCATCACCCGGAGGACGTTCAGGAGATCCGTGAGGGCGGTGGGCTCCCGGTGCCGCGCCTCCCACAGGTCCAGGATGTGCTCCGTCGGGCTGGACTTGCAGGCGAAGTAGTTCAAGTACCTGTCACGGGGAGAGAGAGGGAGTTACAAGGGGCGTCCCGACAGCATAATCTTCACGCCATCCCTGTATTTCATTTCCCACTTAAATCCCCTCGATTCCTCTTAGACCTCGACTGAAAAGATGCTAAATCCATCTTGCAACTTATCTAAAAAAATACAACGGGAATCATCATCCGACAAGCCATCCGGGCCACACACCTGTCCACGTTGAGCCTGGCCGCCAGCATCCGCCAGTCGTTCCCGCGGGCGTTGGGCGGGTCCAGACACCGGCACAGCTCCCACCGGAGGCGCTGCGGCAGACGGAAGGCCCCTGGCTCCGGCGTCAGCGTCACGAGGGACGAGCACCCGCTACTCGACGTCACTGCGAAGGGAATTTTAGGGATTAACTACTAGTAATAGAATGAACATCATTTTTATTTTTATTGGAATTTTATGGCTTAACTACTTGTAATAGAATGAACATCATTAATAATAGTCAACGAACTCTAACTGGACCGCCACCGTATCAGCTTCTACACTTCCCACACGAGCAATATACACGTCTAAAAGTCTTCCCCTCACTCCGCCCACGCACCTGTGGACGTCCTCGGGGCCATGTGGGCGGGCGACGCCGTGACGGGCGCGTAGGGGAAGTCGGAGTTGATCCTGATGAGCTGGCGGTGCGCCGACGACCCCTTCTGCTGCGCCACCACCCTGCAGGCGAGGGCGGCCGCCGTGCCCTCGCTGCGCTCCAGGGTGAAGGTCGTGCTCACCGTCTCGCTCTTCGCGCCCCAGATGCCCTCGAACGAGATTTCCTGCGGGGGAGAGAAAAGGACGTTATACGCTAGGACTCCGAGACGTGTCAAGTTAATTTTTCTGAAACTTTCTGTTCATATAAAATTACATATTATACATCCACGCTGTTTTTTTTTTCCCCAATGTCATAAATTTTACACAGCTGATGTAGCAAAATAAGAAAATAAGCCAAAATACTGAACCCACATCACCTATCTCTTTCAAATACCCGCAATCAATCCCATTTTTTTCTACTTTGACACGTTTACCGAGACAAAACCTGCATCTCGAATCCCTTACCTGATAATGTTGACCCGGTCGGATGCGCCAGCCGGGAGCCAGGTCATCCAAGGTGAGGCAGAGGTTAGCACCGCAGTCCTGTAGCAACAACATCTTTGGCTTGTCCAGCAGGGAGGCCCCCCGACGCCGCTCCTTCGAGGTCACGTCTGGAGGAAAGATAGAAACAGGTCACGGACATGTTAGCATTTGAGATCAATCTACGTCTTGAGATATAAGATGAAATATTGCAACGTCGAAAGACTGGATTAGTTGTTAACTGTATTTGGTTTAGGATTATCAACAACGGATTGTACAATTTATCCCCGTCATCAAATCTGTCAAAATGGAGAATTATTTGATTTCTTATATATATAATTTTTCCCGATCTGTCACTTTTTGCCCTAAAGTCCCATACTCACAGGCGAGGGCGGCGGTGGTGTCCTGCATGACGTGAATGGTGACCGTGAGCGTGCCCGACGGGGTGGGCGGGGGGCGGCCGCCACCACCTTGACCTGCTTGACGGCGGCGTTGGAGCCCGCGCTCTCGCCCACCAGCACGAACTGCCGCAGCGACTCCGTCATCATGTGCACCTGCGGGAGGAACACGGGTTATTTCCTTGTCGAAGTTAACGTAATTTTTCTCTCTCTACGTCAAGCAAATATGGTAATTATGGAGGTAAATAGGTAAATATATATTCGATAACTGAAAAGCTTCACGTATATAAGCTACGTCATCAAATGTAAACACGATAAGATATAATCAAACATATATTATATACATCCTCCACAAATACTGTACATACGCAAAACATACAGCCTACAAGTAAACAAACCAACCAACGCACGGACGAAGAGCCGAAACAAACAAACCCAAAAAAAAGGAAGAAGAAGAAGAAGAAAAAAAAAAAAAAAAGAAAAAAAAAGAAAAGACAGAAAGAAAGAAAGAAAACAAAAGCAAAAGCGAGAACCGCCTCCGACCTGCGCGCCGTCGAGCTGCGTGAAGACGGGCGTGTCGATCCGCTCCTCGCCGATGGTGATGAGCCGCGTCCAGGACTCGTCGCCGAAGAAGCTCGACGTCGACGCCGACGAGGCCGACGACGCGGTGCCGACGGGGGGCGGGGCCGGCGAGGCGAACACGTGGATCTGCCAGGCCGCGTGCTGGAGGGAGGCGCAGTGCTCGAAGGACAGCACGGCCGGCTTCAGGAGGTTCACGCTGGTGGGGCCGCAGCTCACCACGGGGCTCAGCAGCGTCTGCGGGAGGAGGAGGAGGAGAGCCCGGGGGGCGAGTTACAAGGGGGCAGCTCGGGGGGGGGGGGGTCGCGGTTGGGCGTGGGGCGAGGGAGGCAGCGACGTAAATAAACAAAGAGAAAAGTAAATATGCAAAATTAAGTCATTAACGTGAGGCGATTAACAGCTTAATAAAAATAATAACAACAATGACAATAATAATAACAATAGCAATAATAATAATAATAATAACAACAATAACAACATTAATGATAATAACAACAATAATAGAGCATACAGAGAAGCCCAGAATAAGCCTATAAGCAGACACAAAAAGCCAGGAGCCCGAGCGAGAGCCGCCCCTCACCTGCCTATCGGTGAGCTTGGGCACGTGGGCGTTGGGCATGACCCCGATGTACATCTGCTGGCGCGCCTCGGGGGGCAGCGCGCCCTCGGGGACCGTGAGCACCACGCCGTACTCGCCCACCACCAGACGCCCGCCCGCAGCCGTCATCACGCCCCACGCGGCTCCGTCGGCGCTCAGCAGCTCCTTGGGCGGCTGGCTCTCACGCCCACCGTCGGACGCGGAGGTCGGCCGGGAACCTGCGGAGAAGGGAGCGGTAAGAAGGGGAATTAAGGGGGGTAAGGGATTGGGATGGCTTATTAATTCAGGGTGGCTTTAGGGGGATTTTTATTAAGGGAGATTCAGGGTGGCTTTATTAAGGCTAAAGGAGATTCAGGGTGGGTTTATTAAAGGGTAAGATCAGGGTGGCTTTATTAAGGGTGGTTAAGGGTAGGTTTATTAAGAGGGGTTAAGGGAGACTCAGGCTAGCTATATCAAGGGTGGTTAAGGGTGAGCTTATCAAGGTAAAAACAAGAAGGGCGATATCAAAAAGGGAGAATTAAGAGGACATCACCCAGGGAAAAATAAATTTAGCCTTATTAAGGGAGATACAAAAAAGGGGTGGGATTACGAAGGACAAAATAACACGTTATATCCATCGACGTATTAAACAGGCCTGAAATTATGACTAAAAACCGAATCATACTTCGTGCCATGCAATCAAAACGATACGCATATTATAACAATATTATGCAAGTACGCTTTTATCTCTCGCCAATGATTAGCAAAAAGCGCCCTTACTGACCGGGCATGTCGATGTGTTCACCGTAATTCGCTTTAATGCCATTTGGACAGCAACACACGGCTCACCTCATCAAATAGGTAGAAAGTGTGTAATGCAGAATCATGTTAATTACTGGTGTTTAGGCCATGCACTGCAGGGTTCATTCTCCTTTTTTCTCTTTGTCTGTCTGTCTGTCTGTCTGTCTCTTTCTGTCTCTTCTCTGTCTCTCTCTCTGTCTCTCTCTCTCTCTCTCTCTCTCTCCCAGCAATTTCAATAACTGTGTGTGTGTGTGTGTGTGTGTGTGTGTGTGTGTGTGTGTGTGTGTGTGTGTGTGTGTGTGTGTGTGTGTGTGTGTGTGTGTGTGTGTGTGTGTGTGTGTGTGTGTAACCTTATGGTCACCAGGTAGCGTCTGAAGCTCCCCTTCATAATAATGCCACCATTGCGTCATAAACCTGGCGTCACTGTCATGGTCACGATGACAATAAAATACCTAAATACTCACGTGCTAAATCATTTATAACAGCTTGAACAAGAGGGATTTAAGCCTGGACTACAGAAGGAATTGTAATGGTTTTATGCACACCGGACTATGGCGGAGAAGTAGCTGGCTATATTTAGCTTCAAAGATACACAAACACAGATAAACTGATCAAGGATGCCACTTCACTTACGCAGCCACACACATACAAAGGGACACACACACACAGCTAAATGAACGTAATAACTGTCTCTGTCTGTCTGTCAGTCTGCTCCTCTCTCTGCCTGTCTCTGTCTCTCTCTCTGTCTTTCCATCCTCTCTCTCTCTCTCTCTCTCATTTTCCCTATCTCTCTTATTTCCCTCTCCTCCCCCCTCTCCTTCCCCCTCTTTTTATCCCTCCCCATCTCCCTTTCATTCCCTCCCTCCTCTCTCTCTCTCCTCTCCTCTCCTCTCCTCTCTCCTCTCCTCCCTCCCTCTCTCTCCCGCTAAGCAGACAGGCCGTGGGCGGTCCATGTCACACACACACGCACACACAAACCTCACACCACAACGCCCGCGAGAGAATTTCCCTCATTAATATTCAATTTCCAATCAATAACCCCATGACGATTCGAACCGGACCATGCTGATTTGTTACGCCTCGTGAGAGAGAGAGAGAGAGAGAGAGAGAGAGAGAGAGAGAGAGAGAGGAGGAGGGAGGGAGGAGAGGAGGGAGGGAGGGAGGGAGAGAGAGAGAGAGAGAGAGAGAGAGAGAGAGAGAGAGAGATAGAGAGAGAGAGAGAGAGAGAGAGAGAGAGAGAGAGAGAGAGAGAGGGAGGAGAGGGAGGGAGGGAGGGAGGGAGGAGGGAGGGAGGGAGAGGGAGAGAGAGAGAGAGAGAGAGAGAGGAGAGAGAGAGAGAGAGAGAGAGAGAGGGAGGAGGGAGGGAGGGAGGGAGAGGGAGGGAGGGAGAGAGAGAGGAGAGAGAGAGAGAGAGAGGAGAGGAGGGAGGGAGGGAGGGAGAGGGAGAGGGAGAAGGAGGGAGAGGGAAGAGGGAGGGAGAGGAGAGGGAGGGAGAGGGAGAGGAGAGGGAGGGAGAAGAGGGAGAGAGAGAGAGAGAGAGAGAGAGAGAGAGAGAGAGAGAGAGAGAGGAGAGAGAGAGAGAAAAAGGGAAAAAATATTCTCATATAGGCCTATGTAAATAATACCAGAATAGATCTCAAAATCAGACTGAAGCTTATGAGACATCTTTGGTTATTTGACATCCGTTCTCCCCTTACTAATCCTCCCCTCTATCTCTCCCTCTCCCTTAATCCCCCTCCCTCATCGTGCTCAAAATTATCTCCATCACCCTTTGTCTCCATTCCCCATTTATCTCTCTCTCTCTCTCTCTTTAAACCCTTTTCCTCCTCATCCCCTTACCCACCATGCCCCCCCCCCTTAATTAACCGATCCCCTATCTCCCCTTCTCCCCCTTCTTTCCCCTCCTCCTCCCCTTCCCTATCCCCCCTCCTTCCCCTATCCCCCCCTTCTTTCTCCTCAACCCCATACCCTCCCCTCGCCTTCCCCTACCCCCTTTCTTCCTCTCCACCCTCTTCCCCCTCCTTTCCCCTCCCCCCCACCGCCCTTCTTTCGACCGATGATGGAACAAGTTGCATGACTCGAGAAACACATTTTTGCCTATTAGTGGGGACCTAAATAACCCTAAAACCCCACAGTTGGTGAGACCTCATTAAGGGCTGGTGGTTGGCTGCTCCCCCCCTCTCCCCACCGCCTTTCTCTGTCTCTTGTCTGTGTGTCTGTGTTGTATGTTTGTCTGTCTGTCCTCTCTTCCTCCTTCTCCCCTTACACCTCCCTCCCTCCTTTTTTTTCTCTTTTTGATTTTTCCATCGTTCTCATTCCGTCCCTTCCTCTCTCCACCTCTCCTTCCGATCCTTCTCGCTTCCTCCACCCCCCCACCTCCAACTCCTCTCCCCTAACAGATCCCCCTCTCCAACACCTCACCCCTCCCTTCTCCCACCGCCCCAAACCCTCCCTTTCCCCCTCGCGCCCACCAACACCCCACTCCCCCCCTCCCCTCCCAAAAAGCTATCACACTTGTCACTTAAAGCTAGGAGTTCCGCGGCGAGAGGCAAGGTTCCCGGGGTGATACTTGCCCCCTCCGCCCCCCACCCTCCACCCCCGCTCCTGACACGGTATTCCCTCACCGCCCCAACGCCCTCAAACCCCACCCCTCCCACCCATTGCCCGTCCACTCACCGCCCATACCCCACCAGAACGCCCCTCACCACACGCCCTCCGCCCTGCACGCTCGTCCGCCCACGCTCTCCCACCACCATGCGCCCTGCCTTCAGCCTAACCCACGCCCCCCACCTACGCCCTCTCCCCACAGCCCTCCCACTCACCAGCCCATCAACCCATCGCCCTCCACCCACGCCCTCCAACCCACTCCCATCACCCACGCCCCCCCACCCACGCCCTTCACCTCACGCCTTACACTCACGCCTCCAGCCCCGACGCCCTCCACCCACACGTCCCTCAGCACCGTAGCCCCCACAGCCCCACGCTCCCTTCACCCGACCATACGCCCAGTCCACCCACGTACACGCCCTGTACACATGTCACGCCCTCGCACCCACGGCCTCCACCGATCGCCACCACGCCCTCACCCAACCCCTCAAGCCCACCGGCCCTTGCCAACACTCCACGTTCCATCACTACCCTTCACTCAACGGCCTCCACCCACGCCTCCACCCCAACCTCGCCCATGGCACCCACGCCCTTTCAAGAGGCCGCCCGCCGCTGTATTACTAGGAGGATTTCTGGAGGTCGTATGTATATGGGCGTACATAGAGGCGTATTGCAGTGTGTGTGTGTGCGTGTGTGTGGTGCGTGCGTGTGTGTGTGTGGGTGTGTGTGTGTGTGTGTGTGTGTGTGTGTGGTGTGTGTGTGTGTGTGTGTGTGTGTGTGTGGTTGTGTGGTGTGTGTTGCTGCGTGTGCGTGTGCGTGTGCCGTGTGCGTGTAGCGGTGTGGTATATACCTCATTTAAATAATGAACTGAAGATTCGGAAATCACACGTTACCGCTGTTTCGAAACGGAATTCGAACAGCTTCCTCTGACCGTCTGCACATCCCTAGATACAACATTCCATCCCTTACAGCACACGCTTCCCCCCTTCTTCCCCAACCCCCAACCCCCTCACACACCAGTACACACGGACAACACAAACACACAAAACCAACCAACAAAACAAATAACAAAACACCGCTCGTAGGCCTGGTCGAGAGTCGGAGTCGCGCCGTCGTCTTCCCGAGCCTCCTCCCCCCCTCCCTCCCTCCTCCCTACCTCCCCACCCCCTCCGACCCCCCTAAGCCTGAGAAACCCCGCGCGTGGAAGTGTCTCACAGAGGGAGAAGTTGGATTAATTACCCAGCAATCACTGGGAGCTTCTTTTAATTTGGGCGTCGCATCACGGGCGTAATGGGGGAGGGGGTTTGGGAGGGGGTGGAGGTGGAGGGGGGGAGTGGGAGAGGAGGTGGAAGGGGAGGGGGAGGGGGATGGGGCTAGGGAGGATGGGAGAGGAGGTGGGGAAGAGGGTGGGAGAAGGTGGAAGGGAGTGGGGGAAGGGGCTGGGGAGGGGGAAGGGGGTTGGGGAAGGGGATCGGATTTTAGGCGTGGGCGGAAGATGAAATGGGAAGGGGGTTGGGGTGGAGGGGATGGAGGAAGAATTTTTAGGAAGATGGAGAAGCGAGAGGAAGAGAAGAAGGAGCGAAGAAGGGAGAGAGAAGGGAGAGGGTAGGAGAGTTAGAGAGTTAGAGAGTTAGAGAGTTAGAGAGAGAGAGAAGAGAGAGAGAGAAGAGAGAGAGAGAGAGAGAGATAGAGGAGAGAGAGAGAGAGAGAGAGAGAGAGAGAGAGAGAGAAGAGGAAAGGGGTAAGAAAACATAAGATGACAGGGAGATAGGGTGACAGAGAGACAGGGAGACAGGGGGCAGGGAGACAGATGACAGACAGGAGAGCATGAAAGAACAGGGAGACACAGGGAGGGAGAAAGCAGGGAGAGAAAGGACAGCAGGGGCAGGTCGGCAGGGTGACAGGTGTCGCTCTCCCTGCGCGAACAACGCGAGCAGGAGCGAATTCCGTGACGGTGTCGACATTACCTCCCTTAGACCTACGAAGCTCTCCCTGCTGATGACAAAGGCAGGCGCTCTCTCCCTCTTTCTCTTCTAGTATCTTTCTCTTATCTCTTTTTTTTTCTTTCTTTGTCTCTCTCTTTCTCTCTATCCTTTCTTCTTCTCTCTTTCTCTTTCTCTCTATCCTTTCTTCTCTCTCCTCTCCCCCCCCCCTCTCTCTCTCTCTCTCTCTCTCTCTCTCTCTCTCTCTTCTCTCTGCTCTCTCTCTCTCTCTTCTCTTCCTCTCCTCTCTTCTCTCTGCTCTCTGCTTTCCTCCTCTCTCACCTCATCTTTCTCTCCCTCCTCACTCTCTCTCTTTCCTCATAACCTTGTCCTTTCTCTCTCTTCTGTCTCTTCTCGTCTCTCTCTCTCTTCTTGTCTCTCATCCCTTCTCTCTATCCTGTCTTACTCTTCTCTCTCTCATCTCCTTTTCTCCTTAATTTCCAGTAGTATATAACTCGTTTTCATCAAATATTTAATGATTGATTACAGAAGTGTGGAATGAAAATAGCCTGGGCATTAATAAGGGGAGTTCTCGTCTCTCTCTCATCGGTTTACTACTTTATGGTCTCCGATTTTTTCTTCTCTCTCTGCTTCCTCTCTCTCGGTCCTCTTTCTCGTCTTCGCTCATCCTCTCTCTCTTAGGTATATCGTTCCACGTAAATTCGAAAACGAAGTGCCAGTCATTCATCAGTCTAGATCATCACCTCACTTCACTCTCGCTCTCTCGTCCTGTTTCTCTCTCAAGGAAATCTCTAGGCGCAAGGTGAACTCCCCTGGATGTAATTGTGTCTTAGATTAAGTCTGGAATGCTTGCAACGGCCTGGCAACGCCCCCCTCCCACCCCGCGCCCCGCCCGCCGTCCCGCCCGGTCCCGATACCGCCCGCCCCCCCCCCCATCATACCCCCCATGCGGTCCCCGGACTTCCACTCTCTAGCCCCGTCACAGACTCCATATTGTTACCTTCCTGCGCGTGCGGCTCGCGCGCCGCCCATCGACGTCCCCTCCAGCTCACCCCCCGCTCTTCCCCCGCGCGCCCTCTCCCCCCTCGCCCTGACTTGCTCCGGCTGTCCGATCCCTACGCTCTGGCTCGCGGCTGAAGGCCCCTGGAACATATCTTCCGTACATCCAACGGCCTACGAGTGTGCCAATCGTCGTTCGACCATCTCAATACCAGTGCTAGACTATTAGCCCATGGTCAGTCAGTCCTCAGCAGGTGAATCAATGTAATCTGAAAGAGAAGATACAGATTGGGGTTAGGTACGTATGCCTGAAGGAGCTCCATGTCGTCCATCTTGTGCCCCGTCGGTCCCACAGTACGCCCCTAGAAGCACCACATCCTGCCCACCCCACTGCGTGTACACTTCCCCCTCGTCACCGACGCCGTCTCTTCAAGGAATGGTCCCTCTCCCACGCTGTGGATGGAAGATTCCCTCTAGCCATAGTCTTTAGCGTGATCCCTGCTGCGTTTCGTTAACTCCCCTCATTATGTCCTCCAATTAGGTCCGGTGTGTATGGTCGCGGATTGCCTCCTCTCACGTAATCGCCCTCCCAGCGGCTGCTTGCTTAGTCCATCTTAGTCTCAGGCCCGCTCCTCTGCCTTAAGCGCTTTGAGAGTACATCAACATGCCCGCCCACAGACGGCATCGCCCCAGTCCCGATAAACCGCCCACCCTCACGCCCGACCTCCAAGATAAAAACGCCCCCACCCCGCCGCCCATCCCTACCGCCCCCCACATCCCCGCCGCCACACCCCCACCCCCTAACTGCCCATCCTCCCCGACTCCAGATAAGAGACGTCCTCCGATATTCCCCTTCGCCTTATCGGGGGTCTCTCTCGCGGCCCCGAAAAAAGAATCCGAGAGGCTGCGCGCGGGATCGTCGTCGTCGTCCGAATGGGCCGCGTCCGATTCCGTGTCTCCGGGGGTGCGGGGAGGGAATTTCGGGCCGATTTTCGCTCGTGTCCGTTTCCGTGCGTCCGTGTTTCGTGTCCGCGTTGTTCGTGTGTTCCGTGTGTCCGTCTTTCTCGCCTGTCCTGTCGCGCGGCCTAGTTTGGGCTTGAGAAATGGGGCGGCGAGGACGGCGGTGTGTCTGTCTTGTCGGTCTGTCTGTCTCTTTCTCTTTCTCGTCCTTCCCTCCCTTTCCCTTCTCCCTCTCTCTCTGCTCTCGGTCTCTCTCTCTCCTGTCTCTGTCTATTTGTCTGTCTGTCCGTCTGTCTGTCTTGTCTGCTGTCTCTCTCCCTCTCCCATCTCCCCTCTCTCACCCCCGTCTCATGCTCTCTCTCTCTCTCTCTCTCCCTCATCTCTCTCTCTCTCCTCTCTCTCTTCCGTCTCTCCACTCCTCTCCTCTCTCCTCTCTCTCTCTCTCTCCCCCCTCTCCCTCTCGACCGTCTCCTCCCTCTCTCTCTCCTCCTCCCCTCTCTTCCCTACCCCTTTCTCTCTCTCTCATCTCTCCTCTCTCTCCCCTCCTCTCTCCTCTCCTCGTCTCTCTCTCTTCGCTCCTCTCTCCCTCTTCTCTCTCTTCTCTCCTCTCTCTCTCGTCTCTCTCTCTCTCTCTATCTCTCTCTCTCCTCTCTCCTCTCTCTCTCTCTCTCTTTCTCGTGCAGGAATCCCATTTATCTGACAGCCGGACACCTATATATGTGGAGAGGCTCAGGTGTGTGTTGGTAGGGGGGGGGCGGGGGGGGGCGGGGAGAGGGGGGAGGGGTTTCTCGCGTGGCTTCATCGGACACGTCTCTCCAACACCTTTGTGAGGGGGTGGGGTGGGGGGGGGGGGGAGGGGGGAACATATGGGAATTTTTTTTTCGACTTGCAACGGAAACTCTTTTGAAAAACGAATCTGTATAACTTCTCATGAAGAAGAAGAGGATGAAAAAAAAAAAATCTAGGAAAACGAAAACGTGTTCAGCCGTTTTCTTTTCCAGCATTTTTTTTTTTTTTTAGAATATAATGTACTTTTAGGGACCGCCTGAGGAGGTACTCACTGGAGGTGGCGTTGCTGGAGAGCGAGGCGGGCGAGTCGCTCCGGGGCGGCTTCTCCAGCGAGGACATCGGGGAGTCGAGGCAGCGGCTGCCCACGCTGCCGTCGAGCGTGGGCGTGGCGAGGGCGCGCGAGGGCAGCAGGTGGCACGCCTCGGAGGGCGCGGGCGAGTCGTGCGAGGGGCGCAGGTGGGGCACGTCGTAGTGGTGCTCGGAGGCGGGCGTGGCGCTGCCCGAGGGGCCGCCCCCGCTGGCGGGCGCCGAGTAGTGCTCCTCGTACATGGAGCCCACCACGCCCACGCTCGACTTGTGGCCGCTCGACACGGACGCAGGGTCGCTGTAGGCGTGGTCGTAGCAGGGCGGGAGGGCCGTGGGCGGCAGCGGCGCCATGCCCACGCCCTGCGTCAGGTCCGGCGCCAGGCCCTTCAGCTTCTTGGCCGTGTCCGAGTAGAAGGGCATCGGGTAGTCTGCGGAGAGGACGCGGGTCAGGATCCACACAATGGAAATAGCCTCAGCAATTCCTAAATCATGAAACACAACACTTTTCCCAACACCAAAATTACTATAACACCGACACCTACTCTCGCCACTAACAACACTGCTTAAAAACAACAACACCAGCACCCCTATCTCTAACACCACAACCCCCACCACCCCCACCACCAACGAAGTCCCTCTCGAGAGCCACTCACCCGACGCCGCGATCTCGTACATGGGGCCGTCCTGGCGGTCCTTCCGGTTGAACTTCCTGAAGACGACCACCAGCAGGAGCAGCACGAGGGGCACCAGCACCGCCAGCACCACGATCAGGGTGATGTCCTGCTGCACCGCGGCGGCCGTCGCTGCAATGGAAGAGGGGGGGGGGGGGTGAAAGGATGGAAATGATGAGGGATGGAAGGAATAATGATGATAATAATGATGGTAATGAAGGAGGATGGTGATAATAATGTAATTAATGATGGTAATAATGATGATATAATGATGGGCAATAAGGAGGATGGTAATATGAGATAAAATGATGGTAATAAGGAGGATGGTAATAATGATGATAATAATGATGGTAATACGAGATAATAATGAGATGGTGATAATGAATGATAATAATGATCGGTAATGATGATAATAATTACGGTAATAAGAGGATGGGTGATAATGATGATAATAATGATGGTAATAAGGATGGTATAATGGATAATAATTATAGTATAAGGAGGTGTAATAATGATGATTAATAATGATGAAAAATAATGATTAATAAGGAGATGGTAATAATGTGAAATAATGAGAATAAGTGAGGATGAGTGAATAATTGATGATAATCAAGGGGAGGATGGTAATTAATGATGATAATGAATGATGGTAATAAGGAGGATGGTGTAATGTTGGATAATATGATGAGTAATAAGGGGATGGTGATAATGATGCACTAATAATCATGTTAATAAGGGGGAATTAATATGATGATATAAAATGATGTAAGGAGGATGGGTATAATGATGATAATTGATGATGAATGAGATGGTAATAATGATGTGAAATTAGATAAATGTGGTAATAAAAGAGGATGGTAAATAAGTCGATAAATAATCATGGTTAATAATAATATATCATGGATAATAATATTGATAATAATAGGATGGATAAGCGCAGGGATGAATAATGATGATAATTAATTGATGTGGTAATAAGAGATGGTAATAATGATGATAATAATGATGGTAATAATTGAGTGATGTAAGAATGATGATAATAATGATGATGATTAATGATGATATAATGATGGATAACTGATGATAATAATTACTATAAAGGAGGATGGTGATAATGATGATAATAATTGAATGGTAATAAGAGCGATTGTAATACATGCATAGATATATATATCGGTAATAGCGAGGGTGGTAATAATGATGATAATAATCATGGTAATAAGGAGGATCGGTGATAATGATTTTGATGATTGATGAAATAACGGATAACGAGATAACGAATACCCGCGTAATGATTGGTAATAATTGAAGATAAACGATGATAGTAATAGGATAATGGAATAACTGAGTATATCATAACTAATTTTTATAGTGATAATTCTAATAATGGAAGATAAAACGACAGAAATAATGACGATGAAATAATGACGTTAATAATGATGATCAAATAAACTATATCGAATTAGGACAAGCGTTCTCAACAGGTAAGGAATTTGGCAACAGGTCTCTCTCTCTCTCTCGCTCTCATTCTCTCCTCTCTCTCTCTCTCTCTCTCTCTCTCTTCTCTCTCGTCCTCTCTCTCCTCTCTCTCTCTCTCTCTCTCTCTCTCTATCCTCTCTTCTCTTCTTCTTCTTCTTCTTCTTCTTCTTCTTCTTCTTCTCTCTCTCTTCTCCTAAGCCTATCTAATAATCCACCCTCTACAGCCATCAGAACCTCTCCAAACCCTTCATTACCCCTTAAACTCCACCTCAACGTCTCCCTTTGCATCCTCCCGTCTTCACAAAACCAATTACTTCCAAATTTCCCCACTTCCCCTTCTCCCGGCTGTTGGCCTGCGCGACTTCAACCCCGTCCCCGAAAGTCCCTACTTGGCAACCCCCCCCCTCCCGCCGCATTACGTCACGAAGGCCCAAAAAAAAACCCATTAAGTACAATCAGGGAAGTGTACTGCTCTCGTGTACTCCGGTGTAACGCCGAGGCCGTGCTGTTAAGAATCCCGTACGACGTGTGGGTGATGAAGAGAACCCCCCCCCCTCCCCCCCCCTCCCCCTCCTTCCCACCACTAAAGCCCCTTAGCTCTTTATACGTCTTTCTTCCTTCTTTTTCTTCATTTTCTCTCTTCCTCTCCTTTTTTCCTTCTTTTTTCTTCTTCCTCTTCCTCCTCTTCTTTTTTTTCATTCTTCCCTCCTTCTCCTTCTCCTCCTCCTCCTCCTTCATCTTCTTTCTTTTTCTTCCTCCTCCTCCTCCTCATCTTTTCTTTTTCTTCCTCTCCTCCCCATCGCCTTTCTTCTTCTTCTTTCTTTTCCTTCCTCCTCCTCCCCATCGTCTTTGTTCTTCTTCTTTTTCCTCTACTTCTTCTCCTCTCCTCCTCTCCTTACCCTTTCTCCCCTCCCTACCATCTCCCTACTTGTCCGTTCCCTTGGCCCTGTCCTCCCACCCTCCCCTTCCCTTGTTCCTCCTCCCTTCCCCCACCCTTAGCCTTCCCTATCCCTCCCCCACCTCTTAGCCTTCCCTATCCCCTCCCTCCCCCCCCCCGCCATTACCCCTCCCCCACCCCTTAGCCTTCCCTATCCCCCCTCCCCCCTCCGCGCCATTACAATGTCCCCACGCTGCGCCATTACAAATGTTATCGCTTGTCAGCCCCGGCCAGCAATTGTCAAAGGGGTGCCAGGATCTCCCATCACCGGTTCCATCACATCCCCTTCCCGCCCACCCACCACTCCCCCTCCCTCCAACTTCCTCTTACTCCCCGACGCATCGCTCCTTCCCTCCCTCGCGCTCGCCATCACCTCTCACCTCAAGCTGCCTATACATTGCCACACTCCCTTCTCTTCACGTTATCCCACTCATCTCCCCTTCCCCTCGCTCCATACACTCCCTGCTACCTCCCTCCCTCCCCGCCTTCCCTCCACCCATACCCCCTCTCCCTCCCTTTCTCCCACCGCCATACACCCCTCTCTCCTCCCATTGCTTTCTCCACCCATACACCCCCTCTCCCTCCCTTTTCCCCCTGCCCATACAACTCCCCCTCCTTCCCCCTCCGCCCCACGCCAAGGCACTGCACTAATCGAGACATCCCATAAATCAATACCAAGGGGGGGAGGGAGAGGGGGGGGGAAGAGAGGGGGAGGGAGAAGACGAAGAGGGTTTAAGCGGAGATATAATGAGGTCCTTCTTCGTATGACGTTCAAACGCTGTACATTTCTCTCTCTCTCTCTCTCTCTCTCTCTAGACTCTCTCTCTCTCTCTCTGACTCTCTCTCTCTCTCTCTCTCTCTCTCTCTCTCTCTCTCTCTCTCTCTCTCTCTCTCTCTCTCTCTCTCTCTCTCTCTCATTCTCGTTTCTCTCCTCTCCTCCTCTTTCATTCTTCTTCTCTTTTTCTTTATCCCTTTTATCCTCTCCCTTTTCCTATTGCTCCCCCTCTCCTCCCTTCCCCTCCTTCACTCTATCCTTCCCACCCTCCCCTCTACAATCCTAACTTTACACACCCCATACCCCTCACCCACCCCCACCCCCACCCCACCCCAATCCTCACTTACAACAACCCCACCCAACCCACCCCAACGCCCGCCACCCCACCCGAGAGTCAAAACGGCGCGCCACAAAGCTCTTCCATCACCGGTCGGATGGTCAGGCGAAGGAGGGGGGGCGGGGGAGGAGGAGGAGGAGGGGAGGGGAAGGAGGAGGAGGAGGAGGAGGAGGGAGGAGAGGAGGAGAGAGGAGGAGGAGGAGGAATGGGAGGAGAGAGAGGAGGAGAGAATGGGGGGAGAGGAGGAGGAGGAGGAGGATGGGGATGGGGTAGAGAGGAGGAGGAGGATAGGAGGGGAGAGGAGGGAGGAAGGGGGAAGGAGGAGGGATAGGGGGGAGGAGAGTGAAGAAGGAGAAGGAGAAGAAGAAGAAAAGGAGGAGAGGGAAGAGAAGAGAGGAGAGAAGAGGATGAGGAAGGAGGGAAGGAGGAGGAGGAGGATGGGGGGAGGAGGAGGAGGAAGTAAAGAGAGAAGAGAAGAAGAAGAAGCAGACGAATAAATAGAAAAAGAAGACGAAGAAGGAGGAGGAGGAGAAGAGAGAAGGAGAGAGAAGGGAAGGAGGAGGGAGAAGGGAGGAGGAGAAAGAGGAGGAGGAGGGGGGGGCTGGGAAATGTATGCATCCGCGAGAGAAACGAGAGAGGCACCGCTGCTTACAAGGGAGTGTGGGTGGAAATGAGGCGAGAAAGCTTACAATAGTGTGACACGGGTGATGATGGGTGAGGAGAGAGGAGAGAGAGAGGGAGGGGGAAGGAGGAGGAGAGAGGAGACGGGAGAGGGAAGAGGGTGAAGGGAGGGTGAGAAGAAAGATGAGACGGGGTGGTGGGGGGAGAAGAGTTGAAGAGAGAGTGAGAAGAGAGAGGAGAGGGGGATGAGGAGAGAGGTGGATGTGGGGGAAGGGTGACAGGAGAGGGGGAGGGAGAGGAGAGAGAAGGGAAGGAGTAGAGAGTGGGAAAAAAAGATATGGGGAGGAGGAAAAGAGATAGAAAAGAAGAGATAAAGAAGAGATAAAAGAAGACGAATGACGATAGAACAGGGAGGAAACGAGGACTATGGGGAAGGGAGGAAAGGTAAAAAAAAGAGGGGGGGAGGGGAGGGGGGGGAAGGGGTGAATTCTTCGTCTTTCAAGGAAAACTGATGTAAATTCTAAAGAGAAAAAAAAACAGGGTCTTGTTGATAACAAATGAAGAGGGCGGGAGGGAGAGGGAGAGGGGGGAGGAGGGAGAGGGGGGAAGGAAGGGAGAGGAGGAGGAGAAGGGGAAAGGAGGGAGAGGGAGAGGGAGGAAGGAGGAAGGGGGAGAGTGAAGGGAATAAAGGGGTGAGGGAGGGAAAAATTTAAGGGAGAGACGACAGAGAAGCTAATTTAGGATCGATAAAAGACGATAAGAGGACACAGGAAGGAGAAAAAGATAAGAGTATAACAGGGTACATGAGGGGGAGAGGAGAAAAGTGAGAAGAGGAGAGGGGGAGGAGGAAAAAGTGGTAAACGAATTAGAGGAGAGAAGAGGAGAGAAAAGGGAGGAGGAGGAGGAGAGAAAAAAGAGGAGAGCGAAGAAAAAGTGGTAGGAAGAGAGGAGAGAATAGGAGAGAAGAGGAGGAGGAGGAGGGG